AACCTCATAAGAGATTAAATCCAATGGGTTTGATTGGTCAATTACATGAGAAATTGTACCTACACACTTGATTGAAAAATCAGTTTTTCTCTTATAAAACACAGTTTTGAATTTGTCCCACATTGGAAAATTATAAGTTTTGTTTTCAGTATTTCAATAGGAGCTGATTTACACTCCTTAGAATTAGTAGAGGAGAGTATGGTGATTCGATACCGTGCAACGCGCGCGCACGCGTGTGTGCGGCGCAATGAGGCGCTTTAGAGGCGCACTTTGCTCGCACTTCGCGATGGGTAGATTTGGTTTTGGTGCGTTGCTGACCGTTGATCACCGTTGATGAGATCAACGGTCACGATTTGATCGGGTGTGATCAAGAGGCACAATTCAAAGTTAACAGTCACTAACTGTTAACTACTTTTTAAACTAGCACCTACCTTTTCCTCATACCTCTTCACAAATTATTTAAGGAGCATGAATCAAACTCCAAATCACACAATTTCGAAATTCACTTTCTCTCTCTCTCTCTGTCCGGTCTGTTACAGTCTCACAGAAGGTTTCTTTGTAGACTCTTCAACTTTGCTGGTTGCAGATTATTGCCTAAGGCTCTGTTGTATCTTGGGAACGAATTTAACTGTAACCCAACAACAAACTCAGTAAAATTGAGTGGGGGCAAATAACGTTCTAAAGACAGTGTCTTCAGACGGGCCTCAGAGCTTCTCCTCCAAAGTTACAGTGACCTCATCTTCCCCAACAAAGTTCATGAAAATTAAATTCAGTTTCAAGAATACAAAAATATGATAAAATTTTGGTTAAGCATTCACGGAATGGTAAAAAGACCAGTTAAAAAAGAATACAGGTTTAACATGTTATCTTAACTTTAAAAGATACGGTAAGAAATTTTTCGCATATTTTACATGAAAGTGAACATCTGTGTACATCTATATATATGGTCATCTTGTTAGATTATAAATAAAAGTAAAAAAAAATAAGACATTCTTGTATTTTCTGAAAATTCATAATTTCCATAAATTATATGTTTTTATTAAAAAATCAAAACTTTTAATATACTTGAGTAATTCGACATCTAATACATTAGTGATGCCAAACTATTTAAACATACAAAAAATATGGGATTTTTTCTTAATTAATAATATGTGAATAATGTGGATTTTCAAAATATGGAAATTTATGATTATGCTTATATGCATGTTTCTTAAATTGTACATCCAATTATATGTAAACTATTCCAAAATTTTCATTTTGTTATTTTTTTGAAGATGACTTTTCACTCTACAAGAATATATAAAGATGGAAAGAAGGATTTCTATTCACAATGCATTTACACCTAGAATTATCACTTACCCTATATATTTGTGCATTAATTAGTTATGAATAAGTTAGCTAAGCATTTATTTGAAGAGGTCTAATGGTATATTTTATTTGTTGATAATGTAGTATATTGATGGATAAGACTAAAACTGAGCTGGATGGAAAACTAAGCGTTGTTTTTTATGTTTTAAAAAACAAAACCAACCATGTTGTCAAGCACCCCATAAAACAATAAAGAGATGTTTCAAAATTAGGAAAAATTTGATAAATACCAAAAAAAATATATGTATAGCAATAGTCTCAGTAAAATAAGTGTGTACAGTTAAAATTGAGGACTAAAAAAAAAAAAAAAACTTATGTTCTAATATCACACCCTATCTCCTAACGTAGGGGTGTAATCAAACCGAACTGAGCCAAATTTTGGCATGTCTTAACTTGATTTGACTAAAATACTCCTGAGTTCGATTTGAACTCTATTTTCAGCAAAAAGTTCAGTTTATGTAAATATTCAATAAGTTCAAGTTCGACTTGAAACTTGGAATACTTATATATTTTTACAATATATAATATTTTTTATATTTATAATACATTTTACTAAAACTAATATATACTATATTTTTGCATTACATAATTTAGCAATATATTTTTTATATTAATCGATCTAGGCTCACAAACTTTCAAGCTAAACATTTTGTTGTTCAAATTCAAATTGAAATAACTAATCAAATTCACCCTAATATTCAAAAATTGATGGGCATCAAACTCGAATCTAACCTAATGAAACTCAGGCCCAAACTATTCGATTGAAGCTCAATTTAATTGCACCCTATCCTAACATCACACACTTGAGACATTTAACTATATAATGTCACTATTTTCAAATGATGGTTATTCAAATATTTTAATCTTTTAATTTAATCACTCATTTGAGAATTTAAAATCTAAATGTCTTTTCAAAAATTTTGAAAATAATGGTTATTCAAATATTTTAAATTTTAAACCTAATCTTCAATTAAGGTAGAAGCCAAACATTGACTAAATCATAACTTGGAACCAAGCTTAGTCTGGCCCTGGTCCAGGCCTAAACTAGAGCCCATAGCATAGGTTCTAAGCTCTACCCAAACCAACCCCAGCCCATGATCGCCCTTAGTTCCAGCATAAGTAGGGATGGCAATATGACGAGTTCACAGAAGGTTTTATAAATTCTAGTCTCTCCTCTCACCCCCCTCCTGACTCTTCCAATTCATACCCTCCCGAAGACCTACAGTGGGTTGTAATTTTAATATTCAAATCCTCTTCATACATGAAAATGCAAAGTTTTTCGGCCTCAACTCTACCCTTCTCTCATTTAATGGTGGATGGGTCAGGTCCAAAACCTATACTATATAATCTTGGTATATCCCCTGATATATTGATAATTTAATTATAAATAATAGGGGTATTTTAATAAAGTCAATATATGAATGGGGAGGATCAGGTTTAATCAAATATTATACTCTATCATACCCTTAAAGGCCGTAAAATCCCAAAATCCATTTCTCAAAAAAAAAAAAAATAGCTAAGGCGGATACCTCGGATAGGGTGGAAATTGCCATCTCAAGCCAGGCATAAGATATATCTTATTTCTTTCAATTCAAGTCTTTATTTATTTAGTTTAATTTATGAGTCCCTTGGAAGATTCAAAAGCCTCCATTGAAAGTTGAAAGTTGAGACCGTGCATGGTTCTCATTCCATGATTATTACGCAAAGGCGACTACTAACTAACAATCCCAAGGCCATAGCGGCAGCAGCCACATGATCGACCCACAAGGACCAACGAAGATGCCGAGAAACATCCAGCGCCACGCAAAAGACTAGTGGAAACTTGTGTGAGGTGGCCGTGTTTTGATTGACTCACGTCAGCAGAGCCCACTGTCATAGTGAACCAGACAAGACTTCTGTTTTCTGACCCAGTTGCTACCCTACCTTGCTCTGCAAGCGAAACCCAGACCATCTAACCCATCCATTCAACATTTCCAACTGTATATAAACCACTCACCCAGTAATACCTTTCTCCCACTCAAATCTTCTAGGCCGGTCTCAGTCTTCGTATACTTTCAGCTCATCTCCTCTTCTTCTTGTTCTTGCATAGAAGTGAAGTGTGGAACAGATAAAGCAAAATTTGCAAATGGCTTCGTCGCTCTTGAACGTTTTTGGGTGCTTTGTTCCTTCATCTTCGCGCGTAGTTGATGATGGACAGATGAAGTCCAGAAGTCCTCCTGAGAAAGCCAAAAGGAAGGAGAAAGAGAAGAAAGCTGGAGCTCCGCTTCCAGTTTCTCACTTCCCCATCAACTCACATCTCCCTCGGTTGTAGGCCGCCTTCTGGAACAGGTCTTGAATCGTGATGCGGTTATCACTCTATGAGGGTTTCTTATAGAAGCTTTTTTGTCTTTCTTTGGTGGCTAAAATTGGATGGTCAGTCATCGACTTAAGGTGCAGCCATAGGGATCAGATGAGCCGCTGAGTTAGTGATACAAGAATTCATTCTCATTCTTGCCCATTTATATTTATTTGTTGGATCAGAAAATAAGATGGTCGCCTGCTAAATATTGATAGTTTTCTATTAGTTGTTAAGTGGCATACTAGCTTATTATTGATTAGAAGAGGGAAGATTTTGTCACCAGGAGCTCCTTCTAAATTCCACCAATTTCATCCTTTCTCATTTATCTCATTAAGCTGAATATTGCTATGCTTTGAGGTTTGTTTATATCAGGATTCAGGCGAGGGGTATGATTAAAAGGTTCAAATGAAGCGAATTTAAAAAGTGAATCACACCATACCTCAATCCGAATTCCATTAGAAAACCAATGACTTGAATTTGATTTGATATCGGATGAATCCTTACGAAGGTAATCAGAATTTGAATTTGACTGAATATTCGATATTTGATTTAACCATTTAATTCGAATATCCAAACTAATTGAATTATTTCACCATTGCACCCTTTATAAAATAAAGAAATAATATGTAATATAATTTGCCAAATAGTTGCTATTTCCCACCTTGCGCTCATGGTTCAAAATTATCTATCATATATATTAATTTTCGAAGTCATCAAAACGCTTAAAACTGAGATTAGAGACTTTAATAGATTGGTTTGAACAATTAACAAACATCCTAATATATTTATTTATCAATATATCTTAACTGAAAAGTAATAAAAATAAAAGAGAATCACTGTTGAAAACTCCAAATTTTGCCCAACCAGAGAATCGATATTTTGAACTAAGCTCAGGTTTCGTCTTGTCAATGCAATCTTATTGGGAAGATTCCTTGTATAACCATCAGTATAAATCTGCACTTCTATTGCAGCAAAAATCTAGTAATCTTCAATTTCATAACCATCACTTAGACCAAGTAAAAATCAGCTCTGTTCGCAGGTGGGAACGATCTCAATCAAAAGTACTTCTCTACCCTTTACTACAGTAAATTCAACTCAAATCAATGAAACCTTGTCCCAACACTACCGGTTTGCCACATGTAGTATTCTAGGTCGGTCCAAAGTTTCAATTTTAGGACTCTAAACTAATTTGCCACGTAGAATGTGGAATATTCCTAGGTCGGTAGGTACCTCGCTAAAAATCTCGATTATCAAATCAAATCTGATGAAAGAAAAAGAGAACACCTGAAATCGCTTCAATAGCAATGAAAATGTCGTATATTAGAAGGCAAAACAAATCCAATATTGACATAGATGATGCCTGTCAACACTCAACATTCAGTCAAAACATTAGATTCACCCAAAAAGCACTTCTCGGACGAGTTAAAAAAACGGCTTTTCAAGAGTTGTAATAGGGTTTCCCCATAGAAACGACAAATTTTACTAACCGAACACATTTTCTACTTTCTTTCTGAAACAATTGAAAGCATCCAAAAATAGAACCTACCAAGATCCACTTGATCTCATCTCCATCGACCATGGGGTATAAATATGGTACATTGCAAGCACCCGGCAGTTTTACACTGAAGATTTTTGACGAGATCACAACCAACCACATGAATATTTTCACCATCATTTACATCCATCCAGTTAGGAAAAGGAAAGAAAAGTGATTGCTTGTCGTCGATGCTCACCTGTTCATACTGCCTACTAAGAGACGATCCACATTTCCCATCACCTCATGCGGACATGCGGACTCTTCATTCACTGACTCTTCGGTTTCTGGATTCTCACGTAAGGGAAGAACCCCATGAAGTGGGCGACCTTTGGGGCCCAGCCCCGTTGCTGAGCACGACAGAACATCAAAAATGTGTTTGCAAAGTAAGAGTTAAAACCCATTAGGACGTGCCATAATGCATGACCCTGTGGGTTAATATACCAGTGGGATATCTCTTCACACAAATAGCGATCACACAGCCAACACAAAGTCCCCAAAAACAAGGTTCCCACATAAAGCTTCGCAAGACGCTTGGCTGAGACATCTTCAATGTGGATGTAATACTTGTACATCCGAGGGATGCAGAGCAGACAGAGGATCCCATAATGCAACTTGAAACCAATGCCAAAACGCACTTGTGAATGGACAATAGCAAAGGCAGCACCATAAAGGAACAGAAAGGTAGGCATTGTACTCCTATAGTGCCAATCCGGTGAGTAGAGGATGTAGATGTAGAGGAGCATTTCCCAGACCATTGGAGTTTCATCACTTTGCTGTTGGCTGTTAATAGATCCCAAATGTCATTATGTACATTACAATTGTAAAATAATGAACAGAACAGCAAAGAATGGTTCAGTAAAAGATCATGCTCTTAACCTAACAGATTTAAATGAAAGGGCACTAGGGACGATTATAATCTATCTTCCCACCTTGATGAAGGTTCCACAAAAAAACAATGAACATGTCGAGGCTATGCGAGGCAACTTTCTATTATGCATGCAACTTGTTCAAATTTATTTTAAACTGCAAACTAATATTCCTCCACCAATCCCTAAGGTTGACCATTGACACATTCAGACTTGTTTCTTTAAGTCACTTCTAAAACATACATAAAAGGGCCATTTCCCAATGATGGTCCTAGCTACTTTGGGTCTTGGGAGGGGTACACTGCTGTGATATTTTAGGTCCATAGATCATTTCATAATTCTTATGAACTTCTTTGGCCTTCCCCTTGTTTTTTTTTTGAAGCCTTCCATTTACACCAAGTCAGGCGCAGTCTATCATCTATGCATGTAGCTTGTAGAGAGACTGGGCCGAATGGGCCCTAGTATCTATTCTTTTATTTATGTGGTGTGTTATTTATTTTGTTTGTTAATGGGCCTGCCTTTATGGGCCTGTTACTTCTTTTTATAAGTTTATTTTAAGTTCTTGCTTAGCTGGCCACCCACTTAAGGGCATACTTGTAATTAACTAAGAAAAAGAAGATTAACAAAAGGATTAGCGAGGGGAGAGAGAAGATTATCAAACTCCTCTTCCTCTTTCTCTTCTTTTCTCCGTCTTCTGTTCTGCTGTCTTCTACCTTCCACTTTCTTCTCTATTTTTAATGAAGTTTATATCAGTTTTAGAGGACTGATTTACTTCTTGGTATCAGAGTAGGTTTTTCCCTTCTCTTTCTTTCTTTTCTCTTTTTCCCATACACCCTTTGATTAGGAGAGTGTATGGGGAGATAAGTTCCCTATAGATTAAAGGATCTTTTGCCTAGTTGGTAGAGGGTTTGTTGCTGATGGGTTTCTTGCTCCCATCTCTGGCAAAGGGGATATCAAGACCTCTGACATCCTTGTTTTATCCTCTGTCCTTCATGTCCCCAAACTTAATACCAATCTTTTATCTGTTAGCAACTTGACTAAATCCATGAATTGTAACATAACCTTTTTTCCTACCCATTGTGTTTTCTAGGACCTGAAATCTTAGAGGACGATTGAGAGTGGCCATGAGGCGAATGGAATATACTTGCTAGACACACTTGATAGGAGTCTTGGACCACCTGATGTAGTAGCTTTGGAGTCTGTTTTGTCAGAGTTTATTGATAGAGTCATGTTATGTCATTTCCGGTTTATCATTTGCCTTTTTTCTGCTTTGAGTTATTTGTTTCCCAATATGTTTAAGGGAGTGTCTTTATCGAGTCTTCATTGTGAGTGTTGTGAACTTGCAAAGCATTGTAGATATTATTATTCAGTAAGCAATAAAAGATCTATTTGTCCTTTTCATATTGTGCACTCTAATGTGTAAGGGCCATATCATTTGCCTACTATGGTGGGTTACAAGTACTTTATCCTTTTTATTGATAATTATTCTCGTTACACTTGGATTTATCTCATGAGATCTCGGGATGAAGTACCAACTATTGTGCGAAAATTTCATGAACTTATCCTTGCCCAGTTTAACACCCGGATCAAAATATTCCATTCTGATAATGCTAAAGAATATTTTGAGAAGAACCTTTCATCCTACTTTGAAACTTTTGGGGTTATTCATCAAAGTTCTTGTTCCTACACTCCATAGCAGAATGGAGTGGCGGAAAGAAAGAACCACCATGTGGTTGAGGTTGCTAGATGCCTCCTTTTTGCATCTCATGTTCCTATTAAATTTTGAGGAGATGTTGTCCTTACTACTACATTTTTTATTAATCATATGCCTTCTCGGGTTCAAGGTTTCAAAACCCCATTTAGCCTTCTCTTTCCAAATGAGAATCTCTTTTCTCTTACTCTCCGAGTTTTTTGGTGCACCTGCTATGTACATGTTCATAACCATCAAAGACCCAAATTTGAACCTAAGGCACATGTGTATTTTTCTAAGACATGCCTCCACGCAAAAGGGATATTGCTATTTTGATCCGATTCGTGGCACTCGCTTTGTTTCTCGGGATGTCACATTTGTCCTCTCCTCCCACTGTGTCTACCTCAAGTATTCCTACTCCCCCTCCTCCACCTGCTCCTATAGTACCCTCACATCCTGTTCTCCAAAGGTGGTACCAAAGACAGTTTCTGGTATAGGCAAGTTGTTTCCACTCTTGCAATAGAGCCTCTTGCACCTCCTATCATTACTGAGGTAACAGGTCAATGTTCCTCTGACCCACCTACTTCCTTTCCAGACCTTGATCTTCCTATTGCCCTTTGCAAAGGCAAGTGGAAGCGTACAACACATTGTATCTCTAAACACTTGTCCTATAGCCTTCTATCTCCTACCTATTACTCTTATCTTGCCTCTATATCTTCCCATGTGATTCCCAGGTCTATACCAAAAGTCCTGTCTAAACCTGAATGGAGGGATGCTATGATAACTGAATTGGATGCTTTGCAATAAGAACCATACCTGGGATATCGTGGATTTGCCTAAAGGGAAGGAACCAGTAGATTGTAAATGGGTATTCACCATCAAATATCATTTTGATGGCACTATTGAGAGGTTTACGGCCCGATTGGTTGCTAAAGGTTACACTCAAAATGTATTGTATTGATTACCTTGAGACTTTTGCTCCTGTGGCCAAGATGACCTCAGTTGGGTTTTGTTGTCTCTAGCTACTACTTTTGATTGACCTCTCCACCAGTTTGATGTTAAAAATGCCTTCTTGAATGGAGACCTACATGAAGAGGTCTATATGTCTTTGCCTCCAGGGGCAGTTTGATGTTAAAAATGCCTTCTTGAATGGAGACCTACATGAAGAGGTCTATATGTCTTTGCCTCTGGGGGTGTATGGAAAGGAAATGCAAGGGAAGGTGTGTAAACTGCAAAAATCCATTTATGGTCTCAAACAGTCTCCTCGGGCCTATTTTGAGAGTTTCAGGGCTGCTCTTGTCTCCTTGAGTTACACATAAACTCCATTTGACCATACTTTGTTTCTGAAAAGAAGTAACTCTTTAGTGACTTTTCTGATTGTTTATGTTGATGACATTGTGGTCACAGGTAATGACACCCAGGAGGTGAGTAAACTCAAAAGATTTCTTAACTCTAAATTTGAGATCAAGGATTTAGGAGATATCAGGTATTTCTTAGGAATTGAAGTTGCTAGATCTAAGGATGGTATCTTCATTTCTCAACACAAGTATGTTCTTGACCTCCTTGCAGAGACTGGTAAACTTGGTGTTAAACTGGCTTCCACCCCTATAGATCACAATCATAAGCTTTCTGCTACTGATGGCGAACGTTTGCCTAATAGGGGAGTGTTTCAGAGACTACTTAGGAAGTTGTTATATCTCTGCATGACTCCACCGAGTATTTCCTATGTAGTGAGTGTTATTAGTCAATTTATGCATTCTCCCAGAGATACACATTTAGTTGTTGCAGAAAGAGTTTTGTGTTACTTGAAAGGTGTTCTATTTGCCAAATATGAACACATGAAACTGGAGGTATACACTGATGTTGATTGGACTGGATGTATTGATGATAGGAGATCCACTTTGGGATCTTGTGCTTTGGTGGCAAGGAACATTGTCTCATGGAGGAGTAAGAAACAATTTGTAATTACTAGATCCTCTGCTGAAGCAAAGTACAGGGCAATGGCACATGGAGTGTCAAAATTACTGTGGCTACGATCACTTTTAGAAGAGTTGGGAGTTGACTATGAAAATCCAATGATGCTCTATTGTGAAAACTGGGCAGCTATCAACATTGCACATAATCCTGTTCAACATGACAGAACTAAGAACATAGAGATTGATAGACATTTTATACGGGAAAGAGTTGCTTTAGGGGAAGTTTGCTTGCCATTTATCTCTTCAGAAGAGCAGTTGGATGATATTATGACCAAGGGTGTTCCAAGAGGGAAGCTGACACACTATATAAGCAAGTTGGGCATGATTGACATCTATGCTCAGCTTGAGGGGGAGTGTAGAGAGACTGGGCTGAATGGGCCCTAGTATCTATTCTTTTATTTATGTAGTGTATTATTTATTTTCTTTGTTAATGGGCCTGTTACTTCTTTTTATAAGTTTATTTTAAGTTCTTGCTTAGCTGGCCGCCCACTTAAGGGCATACTTGTAATTAACTTAGAAAATGAAGATTAACAAAAGGATTAATGAGGGGAAAGAAGAGATTATCAAACTCTTCTTCTTCTTCCTCTTCTTTTCTCCATCTTCTTCTTCTATTCTGCTGTCTTCTACCTTTCTTCCACTTTCTTCTCTATTTTAAATCACGTTTGTATCAGCTTTAGAAGACTGATTTACTTCTTAGCTAAATTATCTCAGTCAACTTTCCCTCATCCCGTCAACTATTGGGGCTAGTTCTAAACCATTCCTAATGGGCTCATTTCTAACTTTATCCTCCATAGCAAGCTAGCCTTGTCACTCATCCATGTCAGCATCCTCATCACCTATACCCATATTCTAGGCATGTTTATCTATTTATTTGATAAGTAACTTGACATCAAGAATAATGTGTATAACCCTTTGTTTGACCCTTCCCTTCAAAGGGTCAAAACTTTTGTATCCTAACCATTTCAGAAAGAAGAATATGTATTCTACATTTCTACACATGATGTTTCTTAATTGCCCAACACTTTGAAGCTTGAACTAAAAAGAAAATGAAACAAGAAAAAAAAAAAAAAAAAAATTGTCAGGTTTCAAGCTTTTGCATCATTGTTACCTTTCAAAGATTTTCTTTCCTTTTTCTTGGTCTTTTCAAACAAGAAATGGACTCAAACTTCAAAATACTAGTTTGTTGTCAAAGCTCAATAGATCAAAGAAAAAAAGATACAAATGGACTTGAGTCAATACATGAAACCA